TACACACCGTGGTTCCACTGCTGTCTTCTGGACAACTAGCTGGCCTGGGCTGCGTGGAGAAAGGCTCTTCTCCAATGCCAGGAGTAGAGGTAGTAACCGTACAAGTTGACCCTGAGGGGGTGGATCCGGTCGACGCCTGCGATCCACTGGATGCATCCTTGAGGGGTTTTCGAAGTTTCTGCAGCTTCTTTTGAACTCCCAGCTACCTCTTCAGCTGCTTCAGCTCCATAGACTTTTTCCCTGGGGAGTGGAGAGTCGTCTTGGGCTGGTTCCGGGAGAGGACGTTGACGCCGTGAAAAGGTCTACTCCTTTCCACACTCCTTAATTTTTTCCCCAGCTCCGTAGGCACCGGTACCACTTCTTTAATTGTCTGCTTCCTCTGGAGTTCTTCCCGGAATTTGTTTATGGCTCCGCACCCGCGAAAAACGCCAGTCTTCATTAAAGCATCTTTGAAAGATAACTTTAACGAATTCTGTTTTTTCCCGGGGTCGAATTGGAGAGTTCCCGTCTTGGTCGAGTCTGTTTTCGCGGAGGTTTTCTTTTCCTCGGCGAATTCCTCTGACAAATTTCGGTCAAGGGGCTTGGGATTTCGCCCTTGATTCTCCAAATCTCGCGCCCAATGCTGTCCTTCAATTTCGATTCAGTCCAGATTGCGCTGACGCTTTCGGATCTGTTTTTTCTCACCAGCACGATCCGCAATCACTGGCGAGATCCGTTTTTTGACTTTTTGTTTTTAGTTTCGCCACTCCCACGAGCTCGGAATGCCGCACGTGCAGATTTCATGTGAAAACAGTCGACAATCCGATGTCCGTTTCCGCCGCAAAATTCGCAAAGTGTTTTGGTTTTTGCAGGACGTGAACTCGCGTTGAATTGGTCGACTTCCATGGGGTCGGCGAACGTGGTTGAAGCCGAGCGATCCCCTTGTCGTGATCCGACGACGTGGGGTCGTCGTGTCCCGGAGTTGACCAAGTCAAAACGCTCCGCGGCCGATACGATTTCGCTATAGCTGCTGCAATTCGCTGCTGCAACCTGGCGCCGAATGTCGGTTTTCAGCCCCGCGATGTAGGACTGAATTTTTTCGCCCTCGGTAATGTCGGGAATGCGATTATAAAATTCCTCCATCTGCAGCGTGTATTGCGCGACACTCCCGTATTGCCTATGGTGATGTAATTTTTCGCGCGCAATATAAGTGGAATTAATCGGCTCAAAACGTTTGAGAAGGTCTGCCCGGAACTGCTGCCACGTGGCTTCGCCCTGGAAAATGCTACTGTTGCTTCCGAGCCACTCGAGAGCTGGACCGCGCATCAACGTTGTCGCGAGACGAATTTTCTCGACGTCGTACTCCGTTGTCGTCCATCCGATCGCCGCGAAATAAATTTCCATCGTCGCGAGCCACCGCCTGACGTCGGATTTTCGATCGCTAGGGTCGAACGATTCCGGCGAGCGAAGTTTCGGAACCTCGAACTGACGCTGCGACTGCTGCGAAGTCGTCGAAGCAGGAATGTTCATGGTCGAGAGGAGCCGCGTAACGCGCTGCAGTTCGTTTCGCAGCTGCTCGTTCTCCAATCGCGACCGTTCAGTCGTCGCTCGCATCTCCGCTTCCATCTTGGCGATTTGCGTGAAGAGCTGCTGCGTAACGTCGTTGGTCGCCGGCGAACCCATCCTGTTCAAAATCTTAGAATCTTAAGCAAAGGTAGGCTTAGAAGCCATAACTTAGGTGCCTAGGTGCTCGAGTTCGTGGGTGAGGAGGAAGGTATCGAGATATTTTTTGAAAGAGAAGAAGTGGTTTCACTAGGAAGAGTTGGGATACAAGTACAATGCCCTAAATTGGGTTGTACTCATTACAGAGTACCCCACTGCAGGCTAGACAGCAAATATATTCTGACACACCCCCATAGCCAAAGTGGGGTGTAATCAGCAGAGCAGGCAAAGCAGTACAAGCTCAGGGTGGATCACAATGTCACCACACATTCTGAGCACAAGTTCAAGAAGCAATAGTTAAAGTGCACAATTATCAGCAAAGCTAGTGGTAGTCACAACGGGCAAGTGAGGAGGAGGAGGGAGAGTGAGAGGAGAGGAGATAGAAGGCGGCGGCTGAAGCTGCAGACACACGGGCAACAGGAGTGGCGAGCACAGTGGCTACCGGACTAAGCGCCCGGACTACAGGAGTAACAGGCCCCGCGGCTCAAGGAGCGGCAGACGGGCAACGGACCCTCGGGCGACTGGCGCAGCAACAAACTCACTGGGCTACCGGACTAAGCGCCCGGACTACAGGTGCTGCGGACAACAGACTGGCAACCTCCGCTCATCCTCCCGCACACAGTCCCACCCCCCGACACACACCCACTGCTATACCGCTAGCTCCACCCACCCCCCTTAAACCCTAAACCCCAGTCTCCCACACATCCACCCCCCTCAGCGAGAGCTGTAGCAGTGGGAGACGAAGGAGGAGGGGACGGCACGCACAACCAACACCCCCACAACTAGCACCCCAACACTCACCCCCCACGGCTGCACCTGGTCCATGAGCGGCTGCTGCAGGGGCCAGGGGCGGCTGCTGCTGGTGCGCCTGCTCCAGTGGCTGCCGCTGCTGGGGCTGCTGCTGGGGCGGCTGCTGCTGCTGCTGCTCCACGTGCTGCTGCTGGTGGGGTGGCTGCTGCAGTAGCAGCGGCTCCAGGGGCTGCTGCTGCTGGGGTGGCCGCTTCAGAGGCAGCTGCTCCAGTGGCTGCTGCTGGGGCGGCTGCTCCCGGGGCTGCTGCTGCTGGGGCAGCTGCTCCCGGGGCTGCTGCTGCTGGGGCAGCTGCTCCCGGGGCTGCTGCTGCTGGGGCGGCTCCAGGGGCTGCTGCTGCTGGGGCGGCTGCTCCCGGGGCTGCTGCTGCTGGGGCGGCTGCTCCACAAGCTGTTGCTGCTGGGGTTGCCGCTCCAGAGGCAGCAGCTGCTGGGGCGGCTGCTCCCGGGGCTGCTGCTACTGGGGCGGCCCCAGGGGCTGCTGCTGGGGCGGCGGCTCCTGGAGCTGCTGCTGCTGCGGTGGCCGTTTAAGGGGCTGCAGCTGCTGGGGCTGCTGCAGCGGAAAGTAGGACGGAGGGGAGGGGAAGGGCGCGGCCCCCATTGTGCCCTGAAGGGTGACGTGCTAGGGAGCCGCGCAGGTCCCCGAAAGTGCCGCGACGGGCGACGAGAGGGGACCGCGCGCAGGCCCCTGAGGCGTCGCGACGAGGCAACGGGAGGGGCCGGCTCGCGAGCCCCGAAAGTGCCGCGACGAGGCGACGGGAGGGACCTGCGTGCGGGCCCCCAAAACGCCGCGACGAGGCGACGGTCGGGGCCAGCGCGCGGGCTCCCAAGACGCCGCGACGAGGTAGGTACCCGCCGCGCGCTTCGGGGCGCACGGCGGGCAGAAAACCGCCACGCGCCCCGAGCGCGTGGCGGGAAGAAAAAAAGGTGGTCGTGCGCCACGGGGCGCACGACACACAATAGGGCAGCGGAATCGAGTGGGCCCACAGGCCAGGAGCGTTAAGCTCTAATACCATCTTAGAATCTTAAGCAAAGGTAGGCTTAGAAGCCATAACTTAGGTGCCTAGGTGCTCGAGTTCGAGGGTGAGGAGGAAGGTATCGAGAGATTTTTTGAAAGAGAAGAAGTGGTTTCACTAGGAAGAGTTGGGATACAAGTACAATGCCCTAAATTGGGTTGTACTCATTACAGAGTACCCCACTGCAGGTTAGACAGCAAATATATTCTGACACAAAAACCACGCTAGGGGGTTAATTCGAAAAGCGCGGAACTGGTACTTACCAGAAATCGGCGTCGAATTGGTCGCCCCCGGCGGTTTTTCGAGGCGATTGTTTCCGCGACCGCTGCTTAGCCGAGAGTTGTCGAGTGAGAACGGCTCTGATTACCAAGTGTCACAGGATCGAATTCTCAATCGAAACTTGTCACTAAAGCTGAATACAAGGCCTATTTATACTCGGAAAGTACAAGGATAAACGAGATAAAACGAACCTTCGGGAACACACCCTTCCCGATACTACAATCACAAGTGCGCATAAGCACGCAAGTCTATTGGCACTTGGGATTACGCCCAGATTACACCGTATACACCACTGTCGGCGCTGTCGGTGCCGTATAATAGGTATGTCGGTGGGAAAAGTAGGAAATAAGAGAAATAAATAGAAGGCTCTAGAAAATAGAATAGTAGGCCGATTGAGATGAGATTAAGACCAAAATAAAGAGGAGAAAAGGGAGAATGGGATAACGGAAAAATATAATAGTGAGAAAATATTATAACGGGGACGTCCTCTCACACCAATCCCCTCCAGCAGCTACTGCAACAGCAGGATGTCGTTGACATAGACCAGGAACATGACGAGGGTCTCCTTCTCCCCCATGAGGAAAAGGCTCTTGTCACATGCACACGCCCTGAAGCCCATCTCCTCTAATACCGAAGACAGCTTCTTGTACCAGCATCGTGGTTCTTGTTTGAGGCCATAAATGGCCTTCTTCAGCTTGCATACACGCCCGGTACCATCCTCATAACCCGGCGGCTGCGACATGAACACCTCCACATCTATCAGCCCATAAAGAAAGGCAGTGGTGATATCCATCTGAACTATCACCCACCCACACACGACTGCACCGGCAAGTAAAACACGCGGTGTTGGCGGCTTCGCAGTTGCAGCAAAGGTCTCCTTGTAATCCTCCCTTTCTTTCTGTTGGTATCCCTTTGCAACCAGCCTGCTCTTGTAAACTGACACCACCCCTTTGTTGTCAGTTTTAATCCTAGAAATCCAGCCACAATTTATGGCTTTCTTCCCCAATGGCAGTGGCATCAGCTCCCACGTCCCATTATCCATTTGAATATTATATTCAGCATCTCGTGACACTAGCCACTTGTCCCTATCTGGTCTGTTAAGGGCCTCCTCCATGGTCAGTAGCTGAGTCGGTGCAGGTGACAATCGTGGGACTAAGGGACAAGCATGGGGCTAAGGAGGAAAATTATGTGCGCAAATCAGCAATGGGTACGCACCGAGAGGTGGGCAGCAGTGGCCTTGCCGATCTCCGTCTCCTTGAATGCCGCCTCAAACGCCTGCACCGGCACATAGTGGTATGGCTGGCTTTTCCCGCCCGCCCCACCATCTGCCCCAACCGCGCCCCCCCTCCAGTACTGCCCCTGGTCCTTCATCGACGTCATCTCCTGCAGGAAATCCGCCTCGCCTTTCCTGGCAGGGCACTCCAAGCCGAGGCGGGAGAAGAAGGGAAGTACGTCCTCCCTGGGCCCGTGGAACACCACGTGCCCTTCTGCAAGAAACAGCACGTCGTCAAAGAGGTGGTAGGTCTCGAGGGCGGGCTGCAGGAGAGCCACGAGCGTGGTGGTGGCGTGGAGGTGCGTGGGGTGGCGCAGGCAGCGCGTGATGAGGAAGGTGGTGGAGGAGTCGAGCCCCGTGCTGATCTCGTCCATCAGCAGCACCTGCTGCCCGCCCACCAGGGATACGCCTGTGGTGACCCGCTTCTTCTGCCCGCCTGAGATGCCGCGTAGCATGTTGTTTCCCACCACTGTATCCGCACAGATGTCCAGGCCTAGAATCTGACACGGGGGGGAGAGGGAAAGGGGGGGAAAGCGGCGGGAGCAGGGAGAGTGAGTTCAATCTGTAGCATGTTAAGCACTTTCCCATTACCTGACCACTTGGCATGATTGTGAGACAATCTGAGAAATAGCTTGTCTCAGAAACCTTTACACCTGGTAATTTCTAGACATGCTACCACCTATCATGTCTGACATCACAATGAGCACATAGCCTCACCTCACCACCATGCTCACCACCATCCTCATCACCATCCTCAGCACCACCACCCCCATCAGCCTCACCTTGAGCACATAGTCTGTGATGATGTTTGTGGGATTGCCCTCCAGTGCCATCGCCTAGCATGGAGAGAGGTGAAGTGGGGGGCCGGAGTAGCATGGAGAGAGGTGAAGTGGGGGGCCGGAGTAGCATGGAGAGGGGTGAAGTGGGGGGCCGGAGTAGCATGGAGAGAGGTGAAGTGGGGGGCCGGAGTAGCATGGAGGATTAATAGTGATATGGACAGCAAGGGATGGAAGATACGTGGTATGTGGAGCACCAGGGGTGAAGGCAGGCAAGCAAAAGATCAACAGAGTGAATTCCCACACGCCGAAATGTTCACCCGATATCACAGCACCATACGCTCAACAGCGCACGAACACACTACCCACCTTCATGGTGCCATCATAGCACCTTACCTTCATGATGGGGTCCATAGTAGGGTCTGGCACAATGCCCTTCTCCGCCTCGCGCCTCTCCAGCTCCGCCACTAGTTCTGCACCACCCGGGGGTGCGGGGGTGAACGGGATAGAGAAGGGGGAATGTTGGGGAGAGGGGGGGGTGGACGGAGAGGGGGAATGGAGGCTATGGGGATAGCTGAGTGGGGTGAAACCGTGAGAGTATTAGTGGAAGAAATAGAGAGAAAAGGCCAGCGGAAACAGGAAATGGACTCAAACACAAAGAAGAACCCTCTTTCCCACACACATTTTGGCAGGCCCGGACCCTGCACGCACGCAGAGGAGTCTGCACAACCCCCCTAACCCAAACCCCAGCGCAACCCACCCATCCAGCAGCCCACCATTCTTCCCCTTCCCAACATTCGCACATGCGCACCTTTGCGCAGCCCCGGGCCCTGCAGGCGCGCGGAGAAGTCGAGGGGCTGCGGCACAGACGCACAGACACCCACTATCCTTCCCAACACAACCCCCCCACCCCACACACGTCTCAGTCAACCCACCTTAGCGGAGCCCCGGCCCCTACAGGCGCGCGAAGAAGTCGAGGGTCTTTCCTTTGCTAAACCTCAACCCCCCCCCCCCCCCCACACGCGCACACACGCACGTTTCCGGAGCCCCGGGCCCTGCAGGCGCGCGGAGAAGTCGAGGGTCTCCCGGACGGTCATCTCGCCGATGTGCTCGTCGTTCTGCGGCACGTACACTGCTGTGCACTCTGGTACGAACTCGTTAAGAGCATGCCCGTTATAGGTCACGCTGCCTGATACCTGTGATAGAGGGAAAAGGAGGGGGAGGAGGGAAGGGAAGGGAAGGGGAGGAGGGGGAGAAGCGCTAAGGGTTTTGAGCCTCAATGGAGGTCACCCAGACCTTTGTTGCTGGCACATACGCTCAGGCCCCCAAGCGTATAGCGGATAAATCTCATACACACTAATTTTTTTTGGGCCGTCCGAGAACAAAAACGCAAATGTGATAGAAAAGACGGATTTCCCGCTAAGCGTTTTGCCTAACTAGAAATGCAAATCGGCCCTCTAGTCGGTCAAAATGTGGCTTCGAAGTTTTTTGCGGACGAAGTCACAACTGTATCGCACTGAAACCTACTCCATCTACGAACTCCAACCCGTCAAAACGAGGTCTCAGCAAACCTCTCACGCTACTTACCAGCCAGCCCAACCCTAAAGACGTCATTTGTAGCTTTCAATCCCGCTTTCGTCTAGTTCTCGCCAACTTCCACCACTCCCACAGGCGCCGATGCCTGCTCTGCCTCCTTCGCCAACCGTCATCGGGACTTGAGTTGATGTGAAGGCATGACCTAGTCAGAAAGATTTATCCCACGACCTGGCGTATTCTGAATCCACTCTCTAGGCGAATAGCGCATATACCGTAAACACGTCTATTCCGACTTAGGCCAACGTCACTCTTGTGAGACCCCGAAACCCCCAGCTATTTTTCATAAGCTTTTAGTGGGTTTCTCGACAGTTACTAGAGAATTAAAATATCAGTGATCAGCTCTGCGCGCGATGTTGCCTTCACTCACATCCCGTTACAAAGAACGCACCTTGAGCGACTTATCGAGACATCCAGCGAGCGCCTGCAAGAGCGTTGACTTGCCGACGCTTGGCGGTCCCAGCAGCAGCGTCATGCGGCCCGGTCGCAGCACGCCCGAGCACCCATGCAGGATCGGATACGGGCGGCGCGCATCCAACTCCACGCCCAGTGAGTGCAGCGCGGCCTGAGGAGGAACCGGGGGGGGGAGGGTTGGGGAGGGTGGGGGGTGGGTGAGGAGGAAGAGGAAGATCCAAGGCGAAGACTTCTGAAACGGATACGGGCGGCGCGCATCCAGCTCCACGCCCAGTAGGTGCAGCGTGGCCTGAGGAAGGGTGTGGGGAGGGGTGGGAAGAAGGATGATTAAAACGAAAGAGCGACATTGGGGGATCAGGGAGTGAAGTGCGAATGTGCGCAGGCGACCGGGAAATGCGAGGGAAGCTGCTCGCATGACTCACGGCGAGCGCGACTCACGGCGAGTGCGACTCACGGCGAGTGCGATTCACGGCGCGCGAATGCGATTCGCGGCGAGCGAGACTCACGGCGATCGAGTGCGACTCACGGCGATCGAGTTTCGCGTGAAGTTGAGGAGCGTAGGCAGCGCGCGCGTGCCGACGTACACGCCCGCCTCGACGTTCACGTCCTCGAAGCGCACCTCCACCGCCAGCACGGCCAGCCCCCCGCTGCTCGCGATTGGATGACATTCCGCGGCGCAGGTTTAGGAGGAGGGAGGAGGGAGGGATGGGAGCGGAAAGGAGGTGAAGGGGGGGAAGAGGAAGGAGGGAAGGTTAGATTACGCACAGCAAAGCGCATTCAAAACCGCATCCCGTACTTTCTCTGAAACAGTAACGTTGATCACACCTTGCATTCCCCTCATGACATCTCGATGTCAGAACATATCTATAGCTTATACTGCTGTGTAGGCTGTAGTGGGGTATCCCATAGGGGGTACAACCCAGTTAGGGTTTCATATTTGTACTGCTTTCATTCATAGTTCACTCATTCCTGCTTACTCTTTTCACATGGTATCAGAGCTAGGTCCCTCCAGGACCGAAATTTTTGGGCCCACCGAAGCGCGCCCCCGAGGCGCGAATTTTTTTTAGCGACCCCTCGAGTCAGAGGGGTGGGGGTACTGGTCCCTGCACCTACGTTCTTCGTTCCGGCGACCGCGCGGGTGAGCAGTGTGGGGGTGCCCACGTCACCCAGCGCTGCTTTGGCCGCCTGACGGACGCTTGGCGTCAGCAGTTCCCTGGGGCTAGTGAGATCCCTCGCTGGGATGAGCTTCTCAGGGCTGGTGTAGCGATCTTTGATCTTGATTTTGATGCTATCCTTACTGCTATGTATGTTGTGGATTATAGTGAGGAGAATGAGGGTTACCGGTGTTTTCAGCCCGACCCGGGCATTGGTACTGCTGCGCTAGGTGCTTGTGAGGCTGCTGCTCTAGGTGCCAGTGCGTCTGCGCTCTCAGGTACTGGTGAGACTGCGCTCTCAGGTACTGAGTCGTCCTCGTCCTCCCTCACTTTCACACTTGACTCCGGAGCTTCTCGCTCCTTCTTTCGAGACCGCACTACCCTTTCGCCGCTCGCCAGGCCGGTTGCGGTCTCCCTTGCTGACCCCTCTGGGGGTCCTGTCCTGTCTCACTTCTCCACTGTCCTCCCGTGTCCGGCTGCCCCTTCGGGCACCCTGTCGGGTCTGTACCTTCCCTCGTTCTCTACGAACTTGGTGAGTGGAGCGGACCTGCAGGATGGGGGTGTTCACCAGTTCACTCCTGCGCGTCAGAGGGTGACCCACTGCACGGAGGCTCGCACAGGCCGACACCTGGCCACGTTCTCACGTCGGCCGGGGTCGAGTCTCTACACCCTGACCGTTGAGTCTCCTCCTGTCCCTGAGTCTGGTCAGGTGGCTGCGTCGGGTCAGGTACTTGCTGCTGCGTCCCGGTCAGGTCCTGAGTCTGCCCCCTGTTCTTGTCGCCTCCTGTCTCACGAGACTCTCCTGTGGCACCACCGTCTTGGCCACCCCTCCTTGCCCCGTCTTCGGAGCATGGCTTCCCGTGTCCTTGTCTCTGGTCTTCCCCAGTCTCTCCCTCCTCTCCCCTCCGGGCCAGGACCTTCCTGTGTCCCCTGTGTCGAGGGTCGCCTCCGGGCTACTCCTCACTCCTCCCACTTCCCCCCGACAGAGGCTCCCCTGCAGACGCTTCACATGGATGTGTGGGGCCCAGCCCCCGTCCGTGGGCAGGGTTACGAGCGCTACTTCCTGTTGGTGGTTGACGACTACTCGCGTTACACCACAGTCCTCCCCTTGCGCAGCAAGGGTGCGGTCACTGAGGTGCTGATCGACTGGATCCGCGAGGCTCGTCTCCAGCTCAGGAAGAGCTTCGGCTCGGACCTTCCTGTTCTGCGTCTGCACTCTGACAGAGGCGGAGAGTTCTCTTCTCGCCTTCTGCGAGACTACTGTCGTGCACGGGGGATCCGCCAGACCTTCACGCTTCCGGACTCACCACAGCAAAATGGGATTGCTGAGCGCCGCATTGGCATGGTCATGGATGTTGCTCGTACGTCCATGATGCATGCGGCTGCCCCCCATTTTCTGTGGCCGTTTGCGGTGAGGTACGCGGCACATCAGCTCAACCTTCACCCCCGGGTCTCTCGGCCAGCGATGTCCCCAGCCTTGCTGTGGACGGGGAAGGTTGGCGATGCGTCTGTGTTCCGTGTCTGGGGATCTCGGGCGTTTGTCCGCGACTTGTCTGCGGACAAGCTGTCCCCTCGTGCTGCTCCCTGTGTCTTCCTTGGCTTCCCCACTGACGCCCCAGGGTGGCAGTTTTACCACCCCTCCTCTCGTCGTGTTCTGTCCTCCCAGGACGTCACGTTCGACGAGTCAGTCCCCTTCTACCGTCTCTTCCCCTACCGCACTCCTTCCCTCCCCCCTCCCCCGGACTTCCTTGTGCCGGTTCCCCCCCCGGTAGACCCCCTCCCCCCTCAGGTTCCTGCCCCCTCAGGTGTGTCCCAGGTAGACGCCGTTGACCCGGTCGAGGTTACTGGTGACTCTGGTACTGCTGCGGGTGCTGAGCCTGGGGGTGCTGACTCTGGGGGTGCTGTGCGCGGGGGTGCTGAGCCTGGGGGTGCTACTGCTGGGGGTGCTGGGCCTGAGGGTGCTACTGCGGAGGGTGCGGAGCCTCGGGGTGCTGAGCCGGGGGGTGCTGTGCCTGGAGGTGCTGGGTCTGGGGGTGCTGGGTCGGGAGCTGCTGAGCCTGGGGGTGCTGAGCTGGGAGCTGCTGAGCCTGGGGGTGCTGCGTCTGGAGCTGCTGAGCCTGGGGTTTCTCCTGCTGCTGCGTCTCGCCGGGAGCCCCTCTCTCCACAGGAGCTGCGCGAGTGGTTCGCTCGCCGCTGGAGGCGTGCTGCTGAGTCTGGAGGTGCTGCTGGAGCTGGAGCTGGAGCTTCTTCGACCGTCGAGGGTGCGGGTGCAGCCAGTCCCGGAGCTGCTGGCCCTGCAGGTCCTCCTGGAGCTGGAGCTGCTGAGGGCGTTCGTGCTGAGCCTGCTGCTGTTGGTCCTGCCGCTGGAGGTGTGGGTGGCGCTGGTGCTGTCGCTGAGGGTGCTGGTGCTGTCCCTGCTGAGTCTGGAGCTGCCGCGCGGCCTCGGCCGTACTTCGTTCCGCTCCTTCAGCAGGTTCTTGGTCTTTCTCCTCCAGTAGAGGGTCCACCGCCTGTCCAGTCGCAGCCCCTACTGGAGCCTTCCTCTCCACTGCCTGCTCCCTCTCCTTACACTGGTCCTACTGGAGGTCTTGCTGAGCGTCGTGAGCCTGCGTCTCGTCCCGCGTCGCCTGTTCGTGCTGCTCGCGCTAGTGGTCGCAGTTCGCGTCAGCGTCCTCCTCCTGTCCCTGGCACGCACCGGATGTCTTTACGTCCGTCCACTGCTCCTCTGCGTGCTCCTTTGCCTTCTCCTCCTGAGTCCTCTCTTCCTGCGCTTGCGGACCCTGAGTCGGACTCTCTTCGTGCTGCCAGTCCCACTGTCACGCGTCTGCTTGCTACTGTCGTCACTGACCCCTCTTTTGAGTCCACTGCTGCGTCTGCTCTAGTCGCTGAGCTCGTCGACTTTGCTGCTCGCTGTCGTCTCGACTACGCTGCTAGTCTTGTTGCTGAGTCTGCGTCTGTCTGTCCTCCGTCCGTCGGGGGTGAGTGTGCTCTTGGCACGGACGTCCTAGAGGACAGGCAGGAGGAGTTACAGTGTCTAGCGGCTGCTTCACCTCATCTCGCGTCTGTACTGCTTGCCCCTGAGGGAGACCCGGATGCACTAGACATCCCGACTCCGCGTTCTTACGCGGAGGCCGTAGAGGGTCCCTACTCCTCTCAGTGGCAGGCAGCTATGGATGCAGAGATGGCTTCCTGGAAGTCCACAGGCACCTACGTTGACGCGGTTCCCCCTCCTGGGGCGAACATCGTCAGTGGCATGTGGATCTTCAGAGTGAAGCGGCCGCCGGGCTCTCCACCTGTCTTCAAGGCACGGTACGTTGCTCGTGGCTTCAGTCAGCGGCAGGGAGTTGACTACTTTCAGACCTTCTCTCCCACCCCGAAGATGACTACTCTTCGGGTGCTGCTGCACATAGCCGCTCAGCGCGACTACGAGCTTCACTCTCTCGACTTCAGCACTGCGTTCTTGCAGGGTAGCCTGCACGAGGAGATCTGGCTTTGCCGTCCACCTGGCTTCACTGGGACTTTCCCTCCTGGCACCCAGTGGAGCCTCCGACGGCCAGTCTACGGTCTCCGCCAGGCACCGCGTGAGTGGCACGACACACTGAGGACTACGCTTGCGGCTCTTGGGTTTGCTCCTTCTACTGCTGACCCGTCGCTGTTTCTTCGCACCGACACTTCCCTGCCGCCGTTCTACATCCTCGTGTACGTCGACGACCTGGTCTTTGCCACAGCGGACACTGCTGGACTCGCCTACGTGAAGTCCGAGCTGTTGAAGAGACACACGTGCACAGACCTGGGTGAACTGCGCAGCTACCTTGGCTTGCAGATCACTCGGGACAGAGCACGCCGCACCATTACCTTGACTCAGTCACACATGGTGCAGCAGGTCCTTCAGCGCTTCGGCTTCACGTACTCCTCGCCTCAGGCCACTCCTCTGCCTACTCGCCACTCACTCTCAGCTCTGCCTTCGGATGAGTCCGTAGAGTCGAGTGGTCCGTATGCGGAGCTTGTTGGCTGCCTCATGTACCTGATGACCTGCACACGACCTGACCTTGCATACCCTCTGAGCATTCTTGCACGCTATGTTGCTCCTGGGAGACACAGACCGGAGCACATGGCTGCAGCGAAGAGGGTATTGCGCTACCTGTGCAGTACGTCAGGCATGGGGCTAGTGCTTGGAGGGCGGAGTCCAGTGG